ATGCAAGCCTCCCAATCCACTTGCATCTGACTTGCATGCATGCAATCAGCCAGGATGTGGAGCCTAGACGCTTTGCTAAACCCGACAGAATCCGCTCTAACCTCGCTTGTCGCCGCATTGCCGACTTGGGCACGCTACAGACGCAGATGTCGTTCAACACACTTGCAATTTTACCATGCTATTCTGCTTTCTGCGGTCTTGCACTGGCTGTAATCCTGATTTTTCTTCTGGCCCGACCAAGCGAAGCGACCATCCGATCCCGCTCTATTTCATTTCCTTTGTGCTTCTCCAGGGCTACCGCGGAAATATCCGTTGCGAGCACGCAATGTCCGGTCGCTGTACATATGGCGTGCTGGCAACTTGTATACCAAAATCCACAACTGACGCGGAACTACCCAACCGCCCGACCCGCTGAAGAAATGGTATTACACAGCCCCCCCTCGTCTTAACAAGACGGATGCACGTCTTTGTTGGTCGAGTTGAAACATTGGCTGTCTGCTGAGTGGGCAAGGTCGCATGCGCTCCTGATACGAAAACGCGGGATGCCCGTGGGGGTCCGTGTACGTGATTCATTTAGACGTTGTATATTGGCAAAATGATTCGGGGGAAATTTCCCTCTGGACGATGACGACGGACCCCTCGCCTGTCTGTCCGTCTTCTCCTCATCGACCATACGTCGGTCGGTCGCTTGGACGGACGGACGATCTCCACAGTTGGGCTCGCAACGGTTGGCCATCGTACTGAGGGGCCGATCGTGGGTTAAGACGAGGGCGGACGGGAAAGGGTCCTGCTCGTGTGCTTGCTGCCGCAGCGCTGACGTGGAGGCTCGCGTGCTCGTGTTCCGTTTCTAGTCCTTGTTCCGGTTGATCAGGCCAGGCCAGCCTTGGTCGGGCGCTGCGACTCGATGTCACTCGAGGCTGTTGTAGCGATCAACGCTTTGCCGATGCTGCGAAAAGACAATGACGTCTGACGGCGCTACTCGCCGTCTTGGGCGCCGCTCGGCGGGCATGGATAGCGGAGGTATTGCGTTGCGTGGCTCGGCGGGCGGCGTGAAATGTGCGAATAGCTTCATGCTGTCGTGAAATCGTGAGGCTGTCTCGCAACGAGGTCAAGCCGATCGAGGTTCCCGGGGTATCACCATGAACTCTCCTCACCGTCTTTCCATCTCCATCGTCATCCACTGTCGTCCATCATCTTCCCATCCCAGGTAGGTAAAGTCGCATCAATCCAAAGTATATCGTCTTGGCATTCCGGAAGAGGCAGTCGAACGGCGGAGCGGAATCGAGTCCAGCAGCAAGAGTAAGCACCATCAAATCCAACACACAAAGACGACACCCATCTACTTATAACCCAAGCACACGCACGCTCAGACCCAGCGAAAAACCTTACGCACGCATAGATAGGCCGGTGAGACCATCGCTCGTTATCATTGCGCGATTGATAACGCCACGCTTAGTGGTCCATGATTGACCTGCCAACCCCCCCTCCGAGGCTCACAGGGGCCATTGAGCCTCACAAACTCTGAAACCATGTCCACGATAGGAAGGCCAGCCACAGTTCCCCGGACTTCATTGGCTTGTGGGTTGCCGTTTGATGGCGCAGCGAGGAGATAGTAGAGATAGTGATAGTACCTATCTCTCGGTAAGGACCCTTATCTGATGCAAGGTACGCGGGCGTGCATGTATGTCTGTTGCGGGTATGCGGTTCGCATTGGATGATGGGCAGTGCGGCGCGGCGAGCGGGAGATGTGGTACTGGGAGGTTGGCGGCTCGGTAGCCTGGAGGTTATCGTCTGGAGATGTTGGGGAACTGGGGGAGGGAGGGAGACATCTGTGCGCTCGTTTGATAGTAGGTTGCTAACTAGGGTGCTCGCCGTCGGCCACTGTCTATTCGATCTTTTGAGTGGTTGAAACAGCGATGATACATAAGATGTGCTTCCTGTAAGGGAACATGTACGGTGGGATTTGTGTCGATATTGACATCGCGGTATCTGAGTACATTGCTGGATATCTACGACGGCGCACAACCGTGCACTACGACGCGTCCGTCGCGTCTCGTTGACATGATCAATACATGTGTCTCTGCAGAGAGGCCCATCCTTTGAACAGTATGGACAATTCCAGCCACAATATATGGCCCTGGTATATGTTCCAAACCATCACTTGCAGACGAGGATACCGCGTCTCCTCGGGACGGGGGATATGTGCTCTACCTGTTTCCTCCACAATGTCTCTCGGTGTATTTCCCGCAGATACAACTCCGCGGCGCGTTATCGTCGATGCGTATCGTGGTGCTCTCGGGGTGGGATTGTTGCATAATCTCTCTCCTCTCAGCCCGCAGCCTCACTTATCGCCCTCTTTGCCTTCCTTATCACCACCTCCCCCCTTGACCGTCTCTTCACCCAGAACTTTACTCGCAGCCATAAACCTACACACATCTCATTAGTACACCGTCCTGTTACAAAATCCCAGGCCGGCCCAACACCTTCCAGCCCTCCTGCTGTTCCGCGGGACAACTCACATAGCACCAGCATACCCACCCAGACCACGCATGTCCTGCGCCTGACCGGCTGTCATACGCATCAAGCTTTCCAGATCCGACATATTCGCCGTCAACTGCGCGAGTTGCGCTTGTAGGTGCGAGAGTTGGCGTGGCTTCTGCGAGGGGACGGTGCTGAGGCGTGAACCACCGGCGGGAGTGTGGGAGCGGGGGACGTTTGACATTGCGGTTGTCGAATCGGTTTCTTTTACCCGAGCGGCGATTCGAGGTAAGGTAGGGTCGAGAGGTTTAGACGGCGTGTGTTTGTGTGTGTTGTGCTGGACTGCGTATGGGGGAAGGCGCGTCGCACGGCATCGGCTTTGTTGGTGGGACTCCCGCGGCGAAAAGGCCTTGGCGGTTGATTGAATATCCACCGAAGGTCCTCGCACTTTTTCCCTCCAAGAGCAACGTTTTTGTTCATCGCAACATGACTGTGTACCGCCATTGACACGTCGTCGTACCGAAATACACTGCTTCTGGATTTACACAAGCCATGGCAACTCTTCAGACGGTTCGTCGGTGGATTATGACAGCCGCCGTCGCTTCAATTACGATTACGGGTACTATCTATGGTGCGGGATTGAAGGGGCAGCAGGAAGTTAAACAGGTATGTTCCGTCATCCTTCATATATTGCAGCCCTCCTTCCGAAAGACCTTCACCTCAATGCGCACGCTGAGCGTTTCTTCGCTTCAATTATTTCATCCATCATCACCCACTAACCCCACTCCTCATAGAAAACAAGATATATGATCGAAGCCACGCCCGAAGAACGCATCGCACAGCTCGAGACTACGCGCGCCGAGCTAATGCTCAAGAAGAACGAGATGGAGAGGAAGATGGCTATCTTTGCTGAGCGCAGGAAGGAGAAAGAGGCGCGCGACAATGGGAAATGAGAGGTTGGAAAAGATGGCGTCGGACAACTATGATGAGGGGACGGGATACTTGAATATGGGAGAAAGAGTGGGTAGGCTGGCATACACGAGAGGCGAGGGCTGGGCGATGAAGAGATGGTAGTGTGAAGGCGCGCTGATGAGGGTATCGGCTCTTTTGGCACGCACGAAGTACTCGCGACGAAGGACGTCTGTGGGCGACAAACTCTGCCCGCTGCCAGCATATGTCCATCGAAAAACGTACCGCTATTCCTTCCACCTTCTCACGCACCGCCGATCCAAACGTTCACACGTCCTCGAAACGAAGAGCCGACACCCTCGACACCCTCGACACCCATCTCGATCACCACGCCCACCCCACATACGAGCACCAGCAATTTAAAAATCCACCAAGCAGCGAGCATCGACTACAACCCATGTTCGCTATTGCTATTACCCACACGCTTTGTCGTCCCCTCCGCGGAACACATCGCCACGTCGATCTCTGTCGATCCTGCCACACCCTCTGCCGTCGCTTTCGGGGTTCCCACCTCGCCTCGCCTCGGTTCGCCCTGCCCGCCGCTCTCGATTCGAATGGCCCTGCAGATTTTGTATCCGCTAGAGTATATTGCTGAGGGTCCAGTGGGTGGTCGCGTGAGGCTGCCTTGATGGTCCCCTGTCATGGAGAGGGTGTGCGACATCAACGGCACGGCGTTGGTCTTTACGCGGCCTTGCAGGTGAGCTGTATGGTGACGACATGGGTTATGTTGTGCGGAGATGAACATAGAAACAGCGTCCTCCTCCGCCCATAGTAACCCATGACTCGTTGTCTCCAGTGTGTCGCGCTCCTCCACGAGCAATCACGTCGATGTACCGAAGGATAATATGCTCAGAGTCAGCTTTCCACGAGCAGATTTTGGTTTTGGAGATGGCTTGAGTTGATTCGAAGGTTGAGTATCTCAAGGAGCTGTGAGATGGAATTTCACTACTTGGTCTTGTGAAGGATGGGGTAGAAATGGCTGTTTCGAGGAGATCTTGAGATCATGGGGAAGGTACACTTCCCTTTTACAGGTGGCCTACTAGGGATCTGTTAGATACCAAAGGATCTAATAAATTTTGAAAATACACGAGCTAGACAATTCATGTATTTTCAAAATTGTTTACATCCTTTGGTATCCAGCAGACCCCTTGTGGTCCACCTGTAAAAGAGAGGTACTAGTGCCTGCGTACGTTACTGTTGTTTCTGTACTTCTTACATGCCACTCCTGCTGTTCAAGATCATTGCTTCTCTATTCCCTCTCTCCGCAATCATGCCTTGTCAACTGTCTGCGGCAGCAATTTCCTTCCAAAGACACAAAATGTCATAATTCGGCGCTCGAGCATATGCAGTTTCTTACCACAAGAATCTGCCATCCGCTCCAACACGTGGATTTTCTTTGATCAGCCAGTCGTATGTGCTTCTTCGATCAATAACGATCAACAACGCTTCTTCGATTTCAATACCTGTTAACCGTATGTACTATTCTGGTGTCCATCACCCTCATGGACGACCCTCTTCATGGCCTCCATTCCGTACTCAACAGCATCCTCCCATCAAAGCGTGAAGAACTCAAGATACCCCTCCATCTCGCCACCAATATGTATCACATGCTTCCCAATATTCTCATTCTTCATCGCCACCGCCCCAGGAAGATCCCTCAAGCCCATTTCCCTCCCGCTAATCTTCAGTACCATCATCTCCCCAGCCTCAAACACCATACCCGCCGGCCAAAGCTGAACACGCAATCTAACCACCTCCCCCTTCTCCACTTTGTCCTCGCGCTCCAGCGACAGCGTTTCCCAAGTTTTCCCTCGCAGCGCGTCTGAGACATGGCGTTTAGACGCGCGCAACATGCCGCTGGGACCGAAGTACCGCCATACTCTATTTTGCGTCATTTCTTCTGCGACTCCAGAGGGCGTGTTGGCCGGAATGGGTATGTTTATGTGAGATAGTATGGTACCCGATGCGGAGCCTTTAAATATGTGGGCGTGGATGTCTAGGTCGGTGTGATCCTGTGCTGCGATGGAGAGGACGAGGGTGGAGGGACCAGTTAGTACGGTTTTGCTTGGGAAGATGTATGTGAAAATCAGTTCGGAGGAGGAGTCGGCTTGGTATTCGATTGTGTTTTCTGAGAGTGGCGCGGTTGGGGTGAGGATGCCGTTGGAATGGAGGTGCAGTTTCTGGACTGTGGCTGTGGGGAGGTGCCATGGTAGGTCTGAGTATTCTTGGTCTAACAGGGCTGGTTTGGTGAAGTTTAGAAATGATATGCGGACTGGTGAGGTCTGCGGCCAGTCGTTGGGGGAGCTTTTGAGGTGGAAGTCAAAGAATCGGGCGAGGTCTGCGGTGCGTGCTGGACTGTATAGATCGTACCATTCTTGGGATGCGTGAAGAACGAGCCTATGTGTGGAGTTATCAGTCTCTCCCTACAAATTTGTGAAGAAAGCAAGATGGAGATATACTCACCATTTATCTGGGTGCTCGATCTCCTCGAATGCTCGTAGGGAGCCGACGGTATGGATAGGTGATGAATAGCTCGCCCCGATATAAGCAGGCACCTTGACCCTCGCCATATCCACACGCTTATCGTCGATATATTTCCTAGGCACAGGTTTCATCTTGGCCATTGCAGCAAAATCCTCTATCATATTCCTTCCCATCAACATAGTAGCGACCCATTCATTGAACGCCGTATTCGGAATACCTCCTCGAAGCGTTTGCTCGCGCAGAGGATCTGACAAGCCCTCCAAAGGCGCAATGCACGCCAAGTGTGGTGGCTGCTTAGCCGCGATAAAGTACTGGGATATTGCGAGCCAGGAATTACCCGCTAGGGCCAGTTTGCCAGAGCACCAGGGGAGCTTGGCGAGCTCTTCGATGGCATCGTGGCCGTCGCGCCCTTCGATGCTGCCCCAGAAGTGGATGTTGCCCGAGGAGTTGTTCACGCCTCTTGGGTCTACGTTGACGATGGCGTAGCCACGAGGTACCCATTCTGCAGGGTCGAGACTGGAGTTTTGGTTAGTGAGGGATTCAACTTCTGCTTTCATGCTATCCTGGTTCTTTGCTTACCCTTCGAAGTTTTCGTAGCCTGATAGCTGAGTCTCTGGTATACCGGCTCGCAGTGGCATGGCACCAATGTTTAGCATGCCCGTTCCAGTCTTGCCATATGGACCCCACATGACGATTGCAGGTACCATCTCGTCGGTTTTGGGACGGAATATGTCGGCATAGATCACCGTTCCATCCCTAAGTGTAAGGGCTTGGTCTTGATCGAAGATAGTTGTTGTTTCAAGTGGGCGGTATGTTGGCTGCCTTCTGTGACCGGGTGGGAGTTCGGTCGTTCTTGGATTTAGTGGAGGGATGTTCTGCTTGAAAGCGTCGCGAAATGTGACGTCGACTGAGCCGATCTTAAATGAAGTCATAGTAGCTAAGAGGCGGTGACAAGAAATTGAGAGCCGATAGTAGTTTTTGGGATGAAATTGAATCGATCGTACACCAACAGTGGAACATCCTGCGTAACTGCACTATTTGTGCCCGCATTTCGAAGCATACTTAATAACTTCCTAATGCCGGGTTGAAGTGCCGGATCTACTGTTGCGAACACATGACGTTGAGGTGTGAGTAGGCTCGTGGTTAGAGACATGGATGGTGGAGGACTAAGAGGAGGATGATATACTTTCGGGATGTCTGTTCGTCCGGCTCCGTTGTTCGATCATCGTACAACAGCACTGGGCATGCTCGGCCCGAAGACTTGGCACATACTCTCCAACTATAACTGACGTTAAACGCGTCGAGACTAACAGGGTCGGAAGGATACAATTGCTAGCTCCCGGCAACCTCCTGGGTCAGTACCTGCATTGCATACGTACGTGCTGTGGCGCGCAATAATGCACGGCATGCGCGGGTACCGACCATGGTGACTAAAACCGTGAGTACAAGACGACGACTTCCATATTGCACTGTATTAGTACGTTCATCTCAATCCCAACCTTACTCTCGCTGCTCCAATCCACGAAATAGAAGTTACCAGCCCACCAACACAAACCATGACTACAACATCCAGCAAGGCGCTGTACGTCGACGAAGACGGACAAATCCAGATCCGAAATGACATCAAACACGAGGAAATTGCGGCCAATGAGATAGTAGTGGAAGTGAAATACTCGGGTGTCAACCCGGCGGACTCCAAACACTCACAGCTTGGCATCCGTTCGACAGTCAGTGGCTACGACTTCTGCGGCACTGTTATATCGACACCTACCGGATCGCGCTTCAAGAAGGGAACCACAGTAGCTGGCTATACACCCTCAGGAATTGGCCGACCTTTGAAGTACGGCGTACACCAACGCCGTCTCGCGTGCCCAGAAGACATGGTATTCGAAGTGCCGTCTAATCTTCCGGAGACCCACGCCGCAGCGCTGACTGTAGTGGCGATGACCGCTGCAGACGCAGTATTCAATCTGTTCCAGTTCCCTTTACCAACCGCTCCAGTAGTCTGCACACAACCAGTCCTGGTTTGGGGTGCTTCTTCTAGCGTCGGCTTCAGCGCCGTTCAGTTCCTGCGTGCCAGTGGGTGCAAGAACATCTTGGTGACTGCTTCGCCAGCCCGGCATGAGCTACTGAAGAGGATCGGGGCAACGCTTGTTTTCGACTACGCTTCGTCGACGGTTGTATCTGATATTGCCGCTGCGGTGGAGGCTCTTGGTGAGGGCGCAATCTTCCATGCCCTGGACGCGGTCGGTACTTTGTCTTCAGCGGACCTGGTTGTGAGAAGCGTAAATAATCCTTCGGCTACTTTGGCTTCTGTAACCAAATTCGATGGCGGGTTCCGCATGCCAGTTGCGTACGCAAAAGACAGCTGGCGCATCCAGCCACCTGGTATTCCGCTTGAAATCGAGACTCCTGCCAGACCGGAAGACCATTGGCATGCCTGGAAAGCATTGCAATGGGCCGTGGAGAACTACGGCGACCGCTTCGAGCTCCCGAATGTAGAAGTTTTCCGAGGCACCGCTGAAGACGCGTTGCAGCAGATTGTCAAAGTTGGTGGTTTTGGAAGAGGTTTTGGAAAACTAGTCATCCAACAGCCCCTGCTGTGAGTCGAGTTGTTGGTGTTGTGGAAGCGGTAATGGATTTAACAAAATACTGCTAGCGGTAGTATGAGAAAAGGACATGCTTAATCGTGTAGATACCATACGTGTTAGCAAGACGTAAAGAAGCAGAGCTAAGTAGCACTCGCATCTGCCCCTCTACTACTTACGGTTCTTCAAACTAACTGCAGTCTACTCTATCTGGCACCGATGCAGTTGAAGTCTCTCATGAAGCAAACATGGGTGCAGTGCGAGGGAGCTCTTAGCAGACAACGGATCAACTAGCAGCATCGCATGATCATCGTGTTACATATAGACCTCCATGATCCTCCCCTCGGATGACCGGAGCTATGAGCCTATAGCAGGAAGCATTGCCCTTTTCGAGAAGCCCTTGCTTGCAACGCACCCAGAATGTCGGGTCCACCTTCTCAAGGACAACCCCACCATATGCACGATCATGCGTACAGTATCGGGCGCGTCACCTCGATAGGCGACGTGCTTTCGTCTCCTTACCGATGAGAAACGTGTGATGATGCGTTTGGGCGTCTCATGCACTACCAGTCGGCTTTGAGCGAGCCAATGAAGGGCTGTAGGTTCTGTGGGAGATGCCGTTGAGGGAGGGCAATTCCCGGTGCAGACATCGCTTTTTTCTTGGGAAACGAATTGGTCGCCTTAGCCATTTGAACGTGTGTTCTGGTATCGCTGATAGAGTTTAGGGTGAATCATATTTGCTAACCAGCGACGTGGTAGCACATAACGGTGTGATAGACGTACAAGAGAACGAAAGAGGAAGGCATGCATTGGTGTGAGCATGTAAGTCCTTCGCGCCCGAAGTTTAGGTCCAACGTCGGTGTATTCGCTGACTCGTCACTGATTAGGATCGTTCGATGCAGTCAATTTCAGACACCGGCATTCAGGCGCGAGCCAGTCTTGTGTAAGTAACTGTCAACAAGTCTTTTCCTCACACGTGGACAGAGTGACCTTGGTTACGCCGCACTGCTATCGCGGTAATCGCGGAGGGCGGTCGCCGAGGAAGTTTGAGTACCGGTAAGGATGCGCATTGTTCAAGGGATGTGAGCGTGGTTAGTTCTGACACCTCACCTCAAGCCACACTGTGTACGACAGCTATAACGTAGCATCAGTATAGCTCTACAACGAATTTGTAAAGGTCGAGGCGTCCAGGTGGAGTAATACAATCTACTCAATCATACATTCAACCATCCTTCTCCGTGCCGCACCTTCTCGAAGGCGCATCTGCGACCCGCCATCTAGGTTCAGCCGTGTGATGGGGCGCTCCTTGAATCCGCAACACGGTTTGGACATTGGATCATCACAACAAGCGCCAAACTGTAGTGCGTTACGGGCCGCAATCCAGCGGTGTGGGCGTTCAGAGAGCAGCATCGACTCGTGGGGACGGCAAAAGAGAGGAAGGAAGGTAGTACCAACAGCTATGTTGATTTGCCGTCTTCGCTTCAAGCGGCTAGCGCGAACCACATCGTGACAGCCTGTCGGTCGCCTCGTTATCTCCCGCGCACCATCCCACTCGCAATTATCCATCGCACACCAGCCCAGCAAGCAACAGAGCATTCAGGAGATGGCATATCGGTAAAGGTGAACAAGAAAAAGCAACAGTGAACCGCATAGTTGGTGTAGTTTTAGGCATCCACAAACACGCGCGAACCAATGCACCGGGACATCGGTCACGCCCGCGTCCTTCAGCCGCACGGACATGCACTGTGGCCCTCCCTTCTTCGACGTATGCCGTCATCGAAGCAAAGCCTTTCTCGTAAAACCGCTGTGTAAGAGAAGGGATATGTAACGCCGCGCGGTAAGGGTGGGAAATGCGAGATGGGGGTTAGAGAGCGGCCTGTGCAACGTCGAGCTGCGTTCCAGTGCCTTTGCTTTTTTCCTCGTCTCGATTCAAACGGCATGTCAAAATGATGGTGTCCACGTCGGATTCATGTCAAGGGGTGGCTTTAGCCACTTATTCCTGCTCTTCTTTTTCTTCTCTTCTCTCCTCCCTTCTCGTCGCCGCACCTGTCCCTGAGTGCGTCTCTCCTACCACCCACACATTTTCTTCTTCTCCCTCTTCTTTGCCAAGTGCCCTCATCGAAGCCGTTACGCTAGCTCAGCCTTGAGGATTGCATCATCGAAATCGGGTAGCATTATCCAGGCTCAGGGTTGCTCTTGGTGAGGCTACAAAGGCCGTAGGTGGAGGCAACTGGCAATACTGGATCCGACTGAACCCCGTCAGTTGGGATGTTGTGGCAAGATTGTTAAGAGGTGGTGTCGAGATTGTTCACGATTAGAGCAGAAGAGTATACAAGAAGAGCTCATCGCAGATCCAAAGCGTATCACAATAAAATCCCGAGCTTCGCATCTACCTTCCCTAGAGCCCTAGCGCGATCAACCTCCGAAACGAATATATCACATCGACTCATCTCGTTCCGGTCCTCAATACGCCCATTCCACGACTCATCTACGCTCGATACGACCCCATCCAACGCCTCCCGAACATGTGCTACATCGTCTACACCATACACGTGTGCAACCACTGGATACCCCAACCCCAACCCAACAACGGCCCCATACTACGCATATGCGAAGAAGCCGAGAAGCTACGACTTGGCCACCCTTGCCCGGAAACACAACGAGAGCACAAAGTCATGAACCGAAGTCAAGGAATGTGTACAGGCTGCATGTGGAAGAAAGTCAGCAAGTAAGCCATCCTCAAGATCGCTGAACGTTGTCAAGGAAAGAAAAAGCGGGGACAATATGTGGGGGTTCTTGGACGAAAGAGCCGCGGCAGAATCAAATAGCAGGAATGTGGAGATGGGATAAGGGAAAAGGAAAAGAGGAAAGAACAGGATTACGGGGTGGAGAAGGGCCGATAATCTGCCTTCTTTGCTCGTTTAGCCTTCATAGGCGGAGACAACCGTCAACCGTCGACCGCTTCACTCTGGCTTTCCAAGGTTCTGTGTCGCGGGTCGGCGTGGGCGGTCATGATGACAGGCACACGCCGAAAATAAGGCCGCGTGTGAACGCCCACCTTCCCAACCGGAACTGCCATTGCGAGGCTGAGAGAGCAGCGACACGTGCGGCTTAGCTCTGGCGGTGCATGCACGATACGGCCCGGGTCTCGGTCCGATCAAGGTGTCAGATTTGCCGTTTGTCTGGGGGATTCGCTGGGTGAGCTTGAGGGTTCTTGAGGCGCCAGGAGTCGATGGAATACAAATATACCCGGGAGGTCTCGTGTCTTTTACGTTAGTGTTTGGGATAGAAGGGTGCAACTACCGATAGTAACGTATTTCTAGTCCATGATATGATCGACCATT